CTACTGTCGCACGCAGCTTCGCGGAGCAGCAGAGCTGCTAACCGCATGATTGGTAGGGTAGGCCCACATATGCACACGAGATTCCACGTACAAGCATCTAGCACTATAATATGTCCAATCGGGGAAGACCTAAGTGAAGGAACTTGACCATGAATAAGCTCGTTTTGACACCCCAGTGAGCTCGTTATAGTTTTCCCATCGCAGAAAGTAGCCAGGGACCAAATGCGCGGTCAAAACCATCTGCCCACACATCCAACATGTAAAGTCACATCCAGCCCCACAGCGCCGTCTTCCCCTACTCTGCGCTCTGCATATGTGTTCGCAAGTTGTAGATGCTCTTATCAGTGTGTTTGCTTAAAACTAAGTAAGATCTGTGCCAGAAGCTCCAAATGAGATGTGTCTTCTTAAGTAACCTCTGTGCAAGATGTGCTGTGTACATGTTCTGCATGCAAGTAGGACTCGGTGCGTCATGTTCCGTGCAAGCTGTCTCTGTTCAAGTAAGCTCTGCCTTTGTCAGCGTTCTTGTCGCAAGGAGACACATTGCAAGTTTATATGCGTGTAGAAACTGAACAACCAGTGTCTGCGCAAGTGACTCTGTGTCTATCATCTGTGCAAGTGCTTCCCTGTATGTGAAGAGTCGTGCCTTTTGCTCAAGAACCCTTCGCCATGTCGGGAACTCTCACAGAAAAAGCCGAGGTTGAGTCAAACATGCCTCCGTACTTCCATTGTGGGTTTGACTCATAGGGAACCGACAATCAAAAAGGGTACTGTCCTGTTGGTTGCTCTTCAACACAAACCCGAAAAGATACCCTCAAAACAGACACACCTCTGTCCAAGCCCCCAGGCGGGCCGCAGAGGCATGGTAGGCGCATGCTCCAACCTATGCATGGCGGCTTGATCTTCCAGATCTCTAAGACCAGCATGCAACCGGTGGGGGGTCAGGGCCAGGGTTTACAGATTGTGGGTTTAAAGTTGCATTCGGGTTTGAGGGTTATGCAACTTCCTGTGTAATTCCAGCGAGATTGAATCGGCCGTTGGTTTTTTGCCCCAGGCTTGTGCAGACCTTCTGTCCAAGAAAAAGCCATACAAACTTACTTTATTTGGTATGTAGAATTGACTGCAAGGCGCCCAGAGAAATCCCCGCCTTCTCTTGCGTTCCGCCTGGTGCTCGACCTGTCGGAAGACCCCAAACCCCAAAACAACCAGCATGGGCATGACTTTTGACTCGTGGCTTCTGGTGGACATCATTTACATGAAGAATACGTCATCCATGTTTGCTGGAGCTCCCGATTAAAATTCATGGCCGCATCAACAAAACGAGCAACACTGGTGGCTGTTGCAAGATCAAAGCTACTCACCATGGATTGGAAAAATGTTCTCTAGTTCAAGAATTATGAAGCACAACCTTGGTTGCTCTACAGATCATGCAAGGAAATGTCGAGCAACGTGTCCTTCTTTGGTAGAATTGCAGGTTGATTGGTTGACTCGCAAATTGGGACCTGCAAGGCTGTGCACCCTGAAAGCAAAGCAGAGTCGTACTTGCGGATGGCAACCCGAAGAGCAGTAGAAACATTCACTTAGGATTGCTGTCCACAGATTTCCGCAGGTAAGAAGTCCTGTATTGCAAATAGGAAGGCACCATCTCACCTCTGGGTAAATCTGCTCTCACATGAATGGCACGCAATACAAAATCATTGCCAAGCAGGATAGGCAAGTGGCACCTGGCACGGCCCCCCAACCCAGAGCGCAAGAATGTGAGTAGAACGGCTGCAAGTGATGTAAATCAGAAGACAGCCGAACAACTGCCCGAGATGCACACCAAACCAGCTGGCAAAGCCCTCTCTTCCTGGTATGTTCCCTGCAAGAAGAATCCTGAAAGCGGTGCTCGCAACTCCCCAAAAAGGGTTGGTGACCCTGCCATTCCCACCATTGCCCAAAGGGCTCCGGCGCGAATCACGTTGCCATCGATCTGCCCGGTGTTGAGATGGGAGATGGCCCTGTCAGCCTCGTGCACATGAGCAAAAAATTGCTAGACGACAAATGCCGATGGCAATGTCAACCCCAAGTCCAGCAAATCAAGGCAAGCATATTCACGAATGTGAATGACAAACCAAGACCAAGCACATACAAGGCTGCTGAATTCTGCTGAGGTGGGTTTCCATCAAAGTCTTGCTCTTGTTTTTTAATGCATGACATTGAACTGAAGAAAGGCAGACACCAGGCTACGGGTTGTGAGTCAATGAGTATGCTGGATCTGCACATCCCCAAGCCTCTACCAAAAGAATGCACTGACATTTACTCCGCAATATTTCCCAGAGGCTTGCAGAGAAGATGTTCGCTGCAACAAACAGTTGGGACACAGCGACATCGTTATTGATGGCAAGGCACCCCCAGTACTTCGTTTGAACAAACTGCTACATGGAAGGAAAAAAAAAGCTTGCCAGAGAGTATTTCGGTTCGGCTCCAGCAAAACTCGCAGAGCTTTGGCGTGTCAACAAATCTGCGAAAAGAACACATGTGCGAGGCTGGGACGTCTCTCTCCTCATAGAACTCCACATAGGCATAACCTCACGAAGCCATAGCCAGGTTGCCACTTCGCAAGCTTGCAATTTTCAGCCTTGATGCTTGCTGATGTGGAATCGTCTATGCTCTTCTCAACAAACAAACAGACAGACAGACAGACAGACAGACAGACAGACAGACAGACAGACAGACAGACAGACAGACAAACAGCCTTCCTGCCTGCCTGCCTGACTCACTGACTGACTGACTAGCTGGCTGGCTGGCTGCCTGACTGACTGACTGACACGCACTCACGCACTCACGCACTCACGCACTCACGCACTCACGCACTCACGCACTCACGCACGCACGCACGCACCCTACTCACTCACTCGCTCACTCGCTCACTCACTCACTATCTAACTCTAACTACCTAACTAACTAGCTACCAAGTGGGCAGACCTCCCACTAAATCCCACAGATCCAACGGGTTGGCCTGACACAAGCAGCTCAGTTGCGGGTGCTCCAGAAGTACCAAGCAGCTGGGCAACAAGACATAGTAACCCATAGATCCTAAGAACCCCAAGCCCCAAGCGGCTTGGGCCGTCAGCAACCCCCCCCCCCCCCCAAAACGCTTTGGACAACTTCATTGCCCCCTGGTTCCAGAGCCAGGGATGCCGCCTCCTCCAATGCCAACCCCCCGAAAAACAGTCAACTCAGCGCCGGGCCTTTCGGGAGGCCCGCTGTCTTGTCCACCGCCAAGGTCGCCTCTTTCACCTCGAGCGCGGCGTTACTGGGGCTCGAATCCTCCGTAGCAAGCGAATGATAACAAATGCATATATATATATATATACTGATATATATATATATATGTGTATATTACATATACATATACATTTAAATATACATATACATACACATACACATACACATACACGTACACATACACGTACACATACACATAGATAACATACATACATACATACATACATACATACATACATACATACATACATACATACATACATACATACATACATACATACATACATACATACATACATACATACATACATACATACATACATACATACATACATACATACATACATACATTACATACATACATACATACATACATACATACATACATACATACATACATACATACATACATACATACATACATACATACATACATACATACATACATACATACATACATACATACATACATACATACATACATACATACATACATACATACATACATTACATACATACATACATACATACATACATACATACATACATTACATACATACATACATACATACATACATTACATACATACATACATACATACATACATACATACATACATACATATACATACATACATACATACATACATACATACATACATACATACATACATACATACATACATACATACATACATACATACATACATACATACATACATACATACATTACATTACATTACATTACATTACATTACATTACATTACATTACATTACATACATTACATTACATACATACATACATACATACATACATACATACATACATACATACATACATACATACATACATACATACATACATACATACATACATTACATACATACATACATACATACATACATACATACATACATACATTACATACATTACATACATACATACATACATACATACATACATACATACATACACATACATACATTACATACATACATACATACATACATACATACATACAGACATACATACATACATACATACATACATACATACATACATACATACATACATACATACATACATACATACTTACATACATACATACTTACATACATACATACATATACATACATACATACATACATACATACATATACATACATACACATACATACATACATACATACACATACATACATACATACATACATACATACATACATACATACATACATACATACATACATACATACATACATACATACATACATACATACATACATACATACATACATACATACATACATACATACATACATACATACATACATACATACATACATACATACATACATACATACATACATACATACATACATACATACATACATACATACATACATACATACATACATACATACATACATACATACATACATACATACATACATACATACATACATACATACATACATACATACATACATACATACATACATACATACATACATTACATACATACATACATACATACATACATACATACATACATACATACATACATACATTACATACATACATACATACATACATACATACATACATACATACATACATACATACATACATACATACATACATACATACATACATACATACATACATACATACATACATACATACATACATTACATACATACATACATACATACATACATACATACATACATACATACATACATTACATTACATTACATTACATTACATTACATTACATTACATTACATTACATTACATTACATTACATTACATTACATTACATTACATACATTACATTACATTACATTACATACATTACATTACATTACATTACATTACATTACATACATTACATTACATTACATTACATTACATTACATTACATACATACATACATACATACATACATACATACATACATACATACATACATACATACATACATACATACATACATACATACATACATACATACATACATACATACATACATACATACATACATACATACATACATACATACATACATACATACATACATACATACATACATACATACATACATACATACATACATACATACATACATACATACATACATACATACATACATACATACATACATACATACATACATACATACATACATACATACATACATACATACATACATACATACATACATACATACATACATACATACATACATACATACATACATACATACATACATACATACATACATACATACATACATACATACATACATACATACATACATACATACATACATACATACATACATACATACATACATACATACATACATACATACATACATACATACATACATACATACATTACATTACATACATACATACATACATACATACATACATACATACATACATACATACATACATACATACATACATACATACATACATACATACATACATACATACATACATACATACATACATACATACATACATACATACATACATACATACATACATACATACATACATACATACATACATACATACATACATTACATACATTACATACATACATACATACATTACATTACATTACATACATACATACATACATACATACACATACATACATACATACATACATACATACATACATTACATACATACATACATACATACATACATACATACATACATACATACATACATACATACATACATACATACATACATACATACATACATACATACATACATACATACATACATCATACATACATACATACATACATACATTACATACATACATTACATTACATACATTACATTACATTACATACATACATTACATTACATATACATACATACATACATACATACATACATACATACATACATACATACATACATACATACATACATACATACATACATACATACATACATACATACATACATACATACATACATACATACATACATACATACATACATACATACATACATACATACATACATACATACATACATACATACATACATACATACATACATACATACATACATACATACATACATACATACATACATACATACATACATACATACATACATACATACATACATACATACATACATACATACATACATACATACATACATACATACATACATACATACATACATACATACATACATACATACATACATACATACATACATACATACATACATACATACATACATACATACATACATACATACATACATACATACATACATACATACATACATACATACATACATACATACATACATACATACATACATACATACATACATACATACATACATACATACATACATACATACATTACACATACATACATACATACATACATACATACATACATACATACATACATACATACATACATACACACATACATACGTACATACATACATACATACATACATACATACATACATACATTGCATACATTGCATACATTCATACATGCATAACATTACATTACATTATATTACATTGTATTAAATTACATTACATTACATACATACATACATACATACACACATACATACATACATACATTACATATTATCTATACATACATATATACATACATATACTACATACATACATACATACATACATACATACATACATACATACATACATACATACATACATTACATTACATTGCATTACATTACATTACATTACATTACATTACGTTACGTTACGTTACGTTACGTTACATGACATGACATGACATTACATTACATTACATACATAACATGACATAACATAGCATAACATAACATTACATTACATTACATTACATGACATATCTATCTATCTATCTATATATATATTGGTACCCCAAATGGACCTGCACCTCATCAACACATGCTGTAAAGTACAGTGTGCTTGCGCATGTGCAATGTGCTTGTCGCTGAAAAAGGATCAAACTGAGCATTGACCAAGAATCGAACATGAAAATGCCCACAAAAACATCAAAATTGTCCAAAAGACCTGAAACTGTGTTGCTCCTGGATCGCAGATCAGAGTGAATATTGAACGTTGTTTGAAACGTGTTCTGCGTAATCAATAACATTAGATCCAAAACAAATACTTCAAGCTGTGGAAAGTAGAGAAAGCTTTTGGGGTTGGCCAGGATGGCGAAGGCTCTCCAAAACGTTTAGGGGGGATCTTTAGTCTTGATCCAGGGAAGAAACCTTCAAGTTGTTGGGAACACGTTGAAGCTTCTTCGGGGACCTTGAAGGCCGGCAGGATTGAAGATTCTCTAAAAAGTCTAACCGTGAAATCTTCAATCTTCAATCTTCAATCCAGGGGAAAATGATGTTAAGAAATGCTGGAGAAGCATGTGATTGCATTTGTTTGTCCAGAAGCAGACCCATTTCTTGTTGAAACTTGTTTCTGTTGTTGGCTTGGCTCATGGAACCAGAAAGGGAAATTAGCACATTTGAATTTCAAATTGGACTTCAACTTCATGTAGCAACATCAATAACTGCTCTCTATATGTTGTTGGAATTCGAAAAATCATAAGGAAATGCACTCGGCTGAAGTTGAATTTTGTGTGAACTGCAAACAGCTTGTGCTGCTGGATTGTCGCGGAAATTAAATCAAAATATTGGAGGCAAACATGCAAATAGTTGTTAAGCAGTGTAAAGGGACTGCACAAGGACATGGCGCACCTCTAAAACTGACTTAGATGTCAGTTTCTAGCAGCAACTCAAATACGAATGAGTTCTTTCCCAAATCTACGTCAAAGTCATAACTACCTAGAGAGGACCTCGAAAAAAATATGAAACTCCAGTCTAATCAACCACATAAGGGAGCCGTTGCATCAGAAGCGAGTCAACATTTGTTGGACGCGTTCCCTAAAACAATACGAGTAGTCGCCATACTTGTCACACGGCTGTGCCACATTGCCCCGTGCTGATCAGCTAAATCAAAAGAGTTGACTGGCTTCATCATCCCTGCACCACGGTCGGGCCGGACAATTACACCACACTAGCACGCGTCTCTTGTTTTCGGGCATATCAGTATCTACTTCTGAAGAAAAGGATGGTGGATGAGTGGAAGAACGTGGATAGCGCCTCTCATTCGGGAACAAACATGAAAATGCTGCAAGAGAGCGACAAACTTTTGGATGAAACGCCAGAATGATGTGTTTCTCCACCACATGCAGTATTGCAATACCTCCCTGTTAGAGACGGTCGGTGTTGTCATGTTGAGTCGAAGGGCAACGAGACTGTGCATCCAGTCAAAAGCCACAAGAAGCCTCCGCCCCTTCCCCGCTTCCCCACCTTGCCGTAGTTGCCAAAGATCTCTTTGAGATGATCTTCATTGACCTCGTGGCGTTCTTTTGGAAACGTTCACTGCTAGGCTTACGCTTCAAGGTCCCATCGCAAAGGGAGACTCTGGTTTGCCTGTTGCTCACCTTGTTTGCAAGCAACCCCCTGGCAAACCTGCGCCGCCCTGCTTAGGGGCAGAGCACACAGTGGGGCTACGGCATTTCGACTCAGGTTGGAGACGGCCAAGATCTTCCTATCTTCGCGCCTGACAAATGCAAGCGGTTGAAGCAGCTTTCAGGCCAGAAAAGCATCGACCGCGTGGCTTTGAGGGGAGGGAGGCTGAAAATCGAAGGCACGAGCGGCAAGAATCACGAAATGTGAAAGCCCGAAAATCGCCCGGGGTACCTGCACGTGCGCAGGCACGCTTCAATCAGTCATTCCGTCCCTCAGTCGAAAGTCTCCGAACGAAGACAAGCTGTCGATCATGTCTTGCCTGGCATGCCCATGAACCCAAGCCTGCAAGCTCGCCACCGCAAAATCCTCACTAGTGACTTGAAGAGCTCCCTATTCTCAAACCTTCCAACAAGCTATACTGACCAGCTCGGAAACTGTTCTTGCCTCCTCTCGCGGTCCTTGCCGCGGCTGCGGCTACGATCCTTGCAACAGCAAATGAGTAAATGTGCTAAAAAGAGAGTTCCCTTTCAACCAACCTGAAAAGGGTAACCTCAAGAAAAAAACAACACACAACGTGGGAATGCGTCTTAAATTTGGGGCTCTTTCATACAATTCATAGCCAGATTGGATCCATTGGCAAAGAAGGGCCCTCCTTCTGGTCTCCTTCCGAGACAAACACGGACACACTCGAGGATGGACTCGGACGAAACCGTGATATGGACATGTGTTCCTGGGATGGCATCTTTGTTTTTCTTGCAAGCATGTCAAGCGAAGGAGTAAGCCTTCTGTACCAAAGCCCTGAACCAAACAAGCGAAGCTCCAGGCAACATGATCAGTCCCAAGACCGACTGCAGGGAAGCTGGAAACTGTTCATACTAATATCAACAAGGAACTGCGAATGGTCATGCTGCCCGCATGGTCAGTAATCCAGAAAAACCAGAAAGTGGCCTCACTTCATGTTGCCTGCACGACCCGCTGCATTCCCTGCTGGCATTCACTCAAACCCTACAATGCCAACAAGGCGCTTCTAGCAAATGAAACCCCTAAAAGGGTCAACCTGGACCTGATGCTTCATACCCGTTTTCAAATCAGACTCGCAAGCTCAGCTCGCGCCTGAGTTCTACGCTTTGAAGCTAGCAACAATATGCTTTGGGGGAAGGCGACTGGGGCTGGCAACCTTCAGGACTTTGACAGCTCATCCATCCCGTGTGGTGCAGCTTGGGACCCGCGCCCTGTCTCGTCCCCTGTCCTGGGGTTTTCAATCGGTGCCAAGCCCAGCATACATGTGCTCCCTCACATTGGGGACCCAGTTGTTGAAATACAAAGTGAACAGGCCACTTTGTGTGATTGTCGAAACGATTTGCAAAGTATTGGGCACAACTTCCCGATCTAGCAGATGCCCTCCTGCTTGTGGTTTCCTTGCAGTGACCAAATCAATTCAGCATTCCAACCTGAGATTAAGCTGAATGTTGCCCATCATAGGGCTGAAACATCTTCCGAGCACCCCCCCATCCACTTCTCCCTCCCGTCGGTCCCTGTCACGGGACTTGTCTCGGCTCTTCTCCCGAGATCGTTCCCGGGACCTCTCGCGAGATCGGTCCTTCTTGGCCTGGCCATGCTTCCAATTGACCCGAGGGGCTCCTTGAAGAAAACAAAAAAACCCTTTCACCACCAGGCCGTTAATGGGTTGTCAATCCGCCAGGATAACCACTCGAACACGGCCATGTTCAACGCTGCGTGCTAGATTCCTTCGTCAAGAATCGAGGAACTGGCCACTAATGCGGCCCGTGGCTCCCCCGATGCAAAACTACTCACTTTCGAGGCACCAGAAGGCAAGCCTTTCCACTAGGACTCGAACCTGGGTTTTGAGAAAGCGCTTGATAACTATGTGTCAACATTTGGGTTCTGAGCATGTTCAGTGATCCAGTTTGCCAGAAGCTGTTCCCAGCCCTTCCCGCTGCCTTTTCATCCTTTTCATCCTTTTCATCCTTTTCATCCTTTTCATCTTTGTCCTCCTTGTCTGACTTGTCCTCCTTATCATCTTTTTCTTTCGACTCAGACTCCTTGGCTTCCTTCACTTCGCCTTCCTCCTTCCTCGGATCAGGCAAACGACCGAGCAGCCATCAGCTCAATGCGTGCACCAACACTTGTTAACACCCAGTAAATCACTGCTCCGTGCTAGCAAATTGCGAGAACCAATGCGGGGGTGGATTTCATTGGGCATCATTTAGTTTGAGATTCATGCCCACTAACCACTTCGGAGGCGATTCCTTATTGAGATTTACACCCTGATCGCCACAAAGCATCGAAGGTTTCACTCCAAGAAAGGGAAAACATTGACTGGGTGACCTTCACTCTACGTCTGAATCCAAATGCCTCCGCGCCGGCCCCCTGTTTTACATCCGGGTAGCTCTTTGTCCGAGTCTTTGTCCTTATTCTCCTTGTCGCTGTCCTTCGGGCTTCCATCGAAACACGATGAGGGTTGGGCCAAAGCCTCCGTTGTTTGAACCTCTTTGGGTCTCCCTTTCCAGCATAATCGGGGCTGGCACTTCCTCCCTGCAACATGGAACGCCCAAAACTTTCAGGGACCTCCTAGGTTGAACCCAAAAAATTAGGTTCCAAGTGGAGCTTCTTCTCAACATGGACTTGTGTTTGAGTTCCATGTTGATTTGTAGGGGTTCGCTCGTTGCATCCCAGGCACGTCGTCCCCCATCACGTGGACCTGCTCTAATTTGGCACACGCAACCCGCGACTGGCGCCGTGTCTGAGCAAAAATAAACCATCGGCGGCGGGTCCCGGCGTCCCAAGCAAGATCCCTCCACATGAGAACCCCCTCAAGACGATGCGTGGCCAAGTGAAGCAGCACAAAGCCAGGGATTGGTGAAGAAGACTTTCAAACCCACCGGTGCATAGCTAGATGCAGTGAAACTCTTCTTTGACAAAAACAAAAATGATAATCATAATGCGTGCAATTTTAACATCAACGGACCTGCTTACAACATGATGGTATGATGGTTTACTAACATCACACAGTGGCATGCTATACTAATCGAGGTGCGGGTTGACATCTCTGAATCTGCGCGGACTCTGACCTTCGTCCTGCCTTCAAAGAAAACTGGTCGCATTGCAAAGGTCCCACATGATGTGTGATGACAGCAGATATCGTGTAGGGACGTGAGAAGTTCCTGGCTATGTGCAGCTGTGTTTATTTTCACAATTGTGAAACGCTACAGTACATGTACCTCTGCGAGAATGTGTTGTTTCCGGCAATCGAGGCAAATTGATGGCGGTGCAAAGCATCTGTTGGTGGGGCAGTCAATGGTTTTCCAAAATGCAACAACAGCCCAACTGAGCTTCTGGCTGGATCTCGACGAACGAGAGCAGTCCAAAATGCAATTGGAATGATTCAACCATGACATTGACAAACAAAGCAAGCTCAAAACCAAGCACAACCTGAAACTCAACTCCAGCCTCACCCTTTAGGGCAAGACTGATTGAGTCTGGGGGTTGAGTCCAGAGCTGAGTATTCTTGATATTCTAGAATTTGGTCTTTTAGACAAAAGATATCAAACTGGATTCCGATAAAGAACAACTTGATCCTCAGTCCCAAGCCGAAAACGGAAGGGGGAGCGTGTGAAGAAACCAGGAAAGCTGTTTTTGGGCCTGTGTCTGAGCAACCGACAGCCCCTAACGTTCAATTTTGCATTGACTGGGTTTCCTGATATCATGCAAAGCAATGCAAAGGCTTGAATAAGAGGATGGCATTTATTGTGTAGGTGCTCCGGCATCTGTCCTCATCGTCTACATCAGGCAAGGGCTGGCGCACATTTTCTGTGGACCATTGTGGTTCTGCATGTGCAACCTTTCGCTGGCGCATGTCAGAGTACTGTCGCGGCGGCACCGTTCACATTCGTGCGGAGGCCCCGCGCGCGCACGCGAGCGAGCCGTCCCGTCAGTCCGTGAGTCCGTCAGTCCGTCAGTCTATCAGTCCGTCGGTCCGTCAGTCCACCCGTCCGTCAGTCTGCATGCGGCCGCTCCTTGCAAAGAAGCAACAAAACAGATGTCTAGCCTTGAAACCACAACCAAACCGTGATGTGTTACACCAACAAAATTGGAAATGTGATGTGAACTAAAACACGCGAAGAGGAGGCCTGACCCTTCCAACGGACCCAGGCTAGGGGCCTGCTTTGACGACGCCTTTATGTGGATGTGGCTCTCGACCATGGGGTTGTGATCTCAGATCTATGGTATAAGGTGTTTTGCTTCACCGAGTACTCCTCCCTGCGAAGCCCCCACAAGCGGCCTGTCTTCAAAAGTGACATGCCTTCGAGCTAAGCTTCTTTTTGGAGCGCAACAAACTCACAAATGTGCGGTCGAAACGCTCGAAGCAGCAAGAAGGGATCGCAGCAGCTTTTTGAGTACTCATCCTGACTGACCGCAACCACAACAGATTGACTTGAGAGGCATCCAAACAATAAACATCACGTGCTGTCTGTTGTGTCGGCTTCATTGCACTATGAAGCATCAGTCAATGAGATTCCAGTGGAGCTCCGGGATTTTCAAGTTGAACACCTCTTTCCCCCTCCCATTCAGCTTGTTGCCCCAACTACAAGATGAACGGGAGGGTCTCCGTTTGTCCATGAGAAACAACTGGACAACATCCTCCAGCTTCCACTACCAGGTTAAACTCCATGTGAGTGGATCATGGAAATCGCCGTACATATCATCCTAGAAGAATTGCCAGCTTGGGGTCAAAGAAACATCGTCCATGTATTGAAGCACCACAGGTGCCCAGCGGCTTGCCTCAAAACAGAAACCAACCAGTGGAAAGCCTCTCTTTTTGAGAAACACCTGAACTTGGGGGGTGAAGAACGACGGCCAAATACCCCCCCGCCATCCCACCCCCACCCTCCGTGACTGCCAGCCCTCCCCTCCTGTCTCAAGAAGGCCAAGGGCAGAAGGCCCACCAAGCCCAGCCAGCCGTCCCACCAGAGCAGGCCCGCACGGTCACGCTCAACAGAGTCCAAGTATTGGCCGTACCAGTAGACCCAGTAGGACTGGCCAAGATTACAATTGGGCACCATACATTCACTAACTTCATCGGGAAAGCCGAACAACTAAACCTGCAAGTTGTGTGTTTTCCGCAAGGAGGGTCGAGACCTCAAAACGGTTGACCCACAAGCGAGTTTCACGCTCTTTCTTGGCGCTCTCCTTGAAAGAAACAAAAAGCAAGAAAGCACCATTGAGCTCTCCACTTCGCAGGAGCAAATAGCCACTCTTCCCCCCCTTGAACCCAAAATTTGCGCAACCCCCAGTTCCTCGCTGAAGTTGCAGAGGCTGCAGAGGAGGGTGAACTGGGTGGCGGGCCATCGGGAGCAGCAGCTCATGAAGAGCCCCATCTGCGCGCCCAGGTGCAAGCCATTGCCCAGCTTGTAGCAGCTGGCCGCCACTAGGAAGGCCTCCCTTGCGCAGACACCGCGGTTTCAAAACTTGTGTTACATAAAAACCATTGGGTTGGGCTTTGTACAGGCACTTTGTATATACTATGGCAACTCCAAGACCCATCTCGCACCAGAGCCATGTTTTTCTGCTCCCGCGGCTGCGTGCTCTTCGGTTTCGCAGGCCTGGAGGTGGGCGCGCACAGCGCCAGGCCCCAACTCACCGCCGCAGTGGCGGCGAAGGAGAGCGCCAGCACCAGGCGCGCGCCCAGGCGGTCGCCCAGGAAACCCCCCAGCAGGCAGGCACAGATGCTCATGGCCTCCGAGGCGCCCACGTCTGCCACGGCGGCCTGATTGCGAGATGCGCGCGGGGGCCCCCGGCAGCTTCCTTCGGAAACTCCCGCTGAAACCCCAGCTGTGAATGTTGAGGCCTGATCAAAACCCTAAACCCTGAAGGGTGTCTATGAAATCCATGCCAAGAACTGGCACAAACAAAAAGTGATTAGTACCAACCTACATCTACCCAATTGTTGATGGCTCACTTCAGGCTGGAGTCCAGCCGCTTCGCAGTAAACTAGCTACAGGCATTTTGCGCCATCCCCAAAGGCAACTCCCGTGGTATATGGGCGAGAAGAGGTTGCTAATTGGTGTTTAGACGATGAGTTCAACAAGGCCATGTTTCCCAAGAAAGAAAGAAACCGCACCCAGCCCCGTGGCAAATGGGCGGGAAGAGGTTGCTAAACATGGGTGTTTAGGCGGTGAGTTTCAAAAAGGCAATTTCCCAAGAAAGAAACAAACCGGCACTGCCACGACCAGCAACGAATCGCCAAGGGGCCATCAAACCAATACGTGTTTGCCCTTGTTTCTCGGGCCACAAAAGAAAAACTGCCACCACATCCACCTACCGCGCGTCGCCTCGTCCAGTCCGCTCTGCTCCATCCAAGCGGTAAAGTGGCTACTGCCCACGAACCTCACGTCTTGCAGCCGCAAATAAGCTGAATGAGATCGGAAAAAAAGAAAACCAATGGTTCACCAGTTTCCTTGGTGGCTCCCTTTCAAACAAAGTGCCTAGGTATCGCTGTCCCCTGCTTCTCCCTGCCGCAGAGGCGCAGGGCCCCGGAAGGCAGAAGCGCGTGCAGCGCCACGCACGCGAAGCGGCCCCAGCGCGGCGATTGGCCGCCCGGCGTAGCCGCGGGTGCCGCAGCCGGAGCGGGCGCGGGCACCAGAGGCGCCAGGAAGACCACGAAGACCCCCAAGGCGCCCAAAGTTGCCTTGAGTAATGCCCAGAATACACCCATGGCGCCAATCAACCTTTGAACCCCAAACGCGGGGAGAACCAATCCCAAAAGGACGCTCCGTTCCTGCGCATGATGCTTTGGTGCTCCACGTCAATCTGCAGGAGAGTATCGGTGGTAGGCCAAAAGCGAGAGATTTAATGGAAACATTTGACTTTGATGGTGCAACATCATCGGAAAAAAGAAACGCTGCGAGGGCTGGAAACTGATCTTGGCAAATAGACAAGTTCGGGAAAACGAACCACTTTAATATATGCAATCTCCAGCGGGAGAGAACGATCCCCGGCAATGTGTTTCTATCTTTGCGGGGAGCGTGTCCAGAATGAAGCGTCTGCTGACTTCCGGCGTCCAGCACAGAGATAGAACAGTATTCGGCCGCGCGCATACGAGAAAGTGTTTTCCTCGTAGTCTCAAAATGTCTTTCGAGTACGCGCGCAGCCAAAACTTTGCTATCTCTGTGCGGAAGCGTCTATGTGTGGAACCCGAGTTTTTGCATTAAGGCGACCTTCTGCGAAAAGTGTCTATCTTTGCGAGGACGATGCGGGTTAGCCCGAACCAATCCGACCTGCACCGTTCACTTGCTTCGTCGGGCCGCCCAGAGGCCGCCGGCAAAGCCAAGACCCAGCGAGCTGCCGCGGAAGGCCAACAGACCCAGCCAGCTGCCCACGGACCCGGCGGCGAACATGAAGCTGTTGGCTGAAGCGGCCCCCCCGGCCGCCAAGAGCTCCTTCTCCCCATGGAGAAGCTTGGGGTGAATGGGAGGAATTGCCTGCTGCATGCAGTTCCCTGTCCACAAGGGAAACATGTAAAGTTTGAAGGGTCCCTTCATTGAAGACCCCAGTATGCCCCTTCTTGGCCATAGGGACGTGCTGGTCTTCACCCACAGTCCTTGAAAAAAGATGCCGTGGGTTGGGAATAAGTTGGCGGAGATCCCTAATCCTTGCGAGAGAAGCCTTGATGGGGTAATTCTACCTTCCCGACAGAAGGAGATAGCGGCCAAACAGCGACGACGCAATGAAGACGGCAACAATCACAACTGCGAACAAAACCAAGAGTGCAGCTGGGCATAGGATTGAAGCGGTGTTCAAGGGAATTCGAGCGAATCCGAGAGCAAATCCTACACCTGATGCAAGCCGTGTGCCCCGGTCCTCCACCCCAATGGCATCAATGGCCATGTCGTGGGTGGCTGCAAAGAAGTTGTGGCAGAAAAGCAGCTGCCGCATGCCCTGTCCAGGCTCCTTTAGGGAGGTCAGTGGCACCAGCATCAGAAAGAAGATCATGATGACCTGCCACTACGCACTGATGGTTCAGATTCACGCCGGGAGAGCAACAAACTCCAAGCATGGTCAATCCTTCTTCCATTTTGGTTTGAGTGGAGACATGGAAAGAGCGCCTGCAGTTGTATAACAGCTGCCTCCTATGCTGGGATGATGGCTCAGGTGAGCCGTCTGGTGAGTTCTATTGATGGCTTGTTCTGGCAATTGTTAACGCTGGCAAACAGTACAGCAATCTGGGGATGATCACCCGAAACTAGCGTGTTCTTTCGACGTATTTGCCCCGTGGAAAGAAGAAGTACACAGACCTGCAGTCAAATCCAATCTTGCCAGAAGTTCCTTCACAATCAAAGCATCCTAGGACATTGATGTGCCAAAACATCCACAAGAACGCGATTGCCAAAAATACGCCAGCCCAACAAGATCAATTGCAAAATACAAATACGCCTGAACAACCGGCTGAGTGCAAGTCAAGCCTGGCGCCGACCGAAGCAAGCTGCGACCGCGCGCCTGGGAGCCAAGCAGCACCTTGCGCTTGGACATGCCTTGGTCCAGCAAGGGCGACCACAGCCACTTCCAGGACCACGGCAGATCCCCCCACCACTGCAGGTCACCCATCTCCGTGGCGGTCACATTCACCTCCCGGGGAATTTTTGGCCTCGTGGGAGCCTGAACTGGACTGCCCTACATGAAAAATGGCGAGTGGGAGGGGTATTCCTGGAACAAGCAAGCCATGTGTCCATCTCTAGAGCTGCTGGAAAGTTCAGGCAAAACAAGCAGCCGGGAGCCAAACATGTCTTGCTGGAACCAGAGCAATGCAATTGGTGGATTGTCTGGAAAGTGTTTGACTCAGGGATTGTTTGCTGAGCCGGCAATTTGTCTTTGCATCCCTCTACAAGAGGCCACAAGACAATGCAACCTGCCATCCATCGCTTCCACACAACAGAACACAAGTTCATTCCGCAAAGCATGCCTAGTACAATGCCTAGGGACTATGCTATTCCCGCGACCCTGCCACAAGAAACCATCTACAGCAAAATTGGGAGGAAGCCATCGAAAAGTCTGTTAGTTGTCTGGTATTTGGGCCCATGTCCTGTCGAGTTTCCTTCATCTGGTTTCATCCAGCCTTTGAAAGGTGGAAGGGAATGTACTCATCTGTGAGGCTGATGGGCACTCCCTCGATGAGGTACAGCCCCGCCAAGGTGCAGGTGAGCCGCCAGTTGAAGTTTAGAGCCTTGCAAATCAGAAACTCCGACAAGCACTGCGGGCCTCAACGTACATGACGTCAGATATTGTCGCCTAAAATCAGTCGAAAACCAACAAATGCAAATCAATGTGATGCCAACATGCACACTCAAAGCAGTTTCGGGATTCTTCCAACTTTAGACTTCAAGACTGGTGTGCATATGTTTGCTTGTGTGGCGAAGGCTTTGTACCATGTTGACAGGGCGTAAGTGAACTGACCATCAAAATCATTGAGAAGTGGTTTGGCTTTGAATACTGAAAGCTTAAGGGCCTCCCTGAAACCAAACCTGGGAAACGCGAGATCGAATATGTCTGACAAGGACAAATGCCCAAGCCTCGCACATGATTTCTGACCAAGGACAATCAGCAGTTCAAAGCACTCGGTTGAACTCGTTCATCATGAAGGCACCACCCACCTTTTGTGTGCAAACGTTGCTCTCTACCCCTTATTTGCGCAGAAGAGAGACTGACAAGCACAATGAGTAGCACATTGACGTTGGTAACTTTGCAGCCCACATCCGTCCAACTCTTCAAGTGGAATCCATGGTTGTTTTTGCAAGCGGAATTTCTGGGGGAAATGGTGATGTTTGAAGAAACATCCAAGTCACCCTGTGCAACTTGATGATTTTGGGGATGCACCTTCATGAAGTTGAGGGCCCCTATATTTGGAAAACACCAGCAAGCCGAGCACGCACACTTCAAAGAATCCATGACCAACAATCACTTGGGGTTGCCTCCAAGACTTTGGTTTCCTCTCAACCAAACTACCCCAAATACAAATGTCCAACTCAAACAAAGCTCGGGTCACTAAATTCCCTCAAATGTTCAAAGTACAGGTGGGTTCCACCAAACTTGCCACTTGGGTCCAAAAGTGTTGGAAACCGAGGCCCCCCTCTTGTGTGTGTCCTGCATTTTTGTGCCAGCGCCTGTGGCAGCCACTGCACCTCACAGACCCCAGAGACCCCCCAACCTCCAACTTGGCTACAAGGTCAGGGGATCCACCAACCGAACACCAACCCCCCACAAAAAAAATATGCCTTCGTACCGCCGGTCCGGGGGTGACGCGCAAACACGGTCGTTTGTGTGCCTGGCGGCTCCTGAGCCGTCAAAAAATGTCCCATTGCATATAACGAGATCACTTCGAAGCATGTACCCTCAGTCAAAACACACACCCGTTTTAAACGCTCGCTTTTCCGTAAGGAGAGGGGGTTGCTCGTCTAAATATCCATCGCTCGCATGGATGCGGCTGAAACCGCCACCAGCTGCCATACACCAACATGCATTAACATTTAAATGGCTGGCTAGCAAGCAAGTGTGAGCGTCAACCAGAGGCTGCTCCCAAAACACGTGAGAAGTGCGTAGGTTTCCAAGAAAGGGAAGGGGGCTCTGGTCTACTGTTCCTTTGAAGCACCCTTCTTCCCTTCCTGCTGCTGCTGAACTGGCGGCCGCCGCACCTAGGCGAGAGACGACTCTTTCTTTTGGCGGGAGCTGACATTTGGAGGCTGGGTATGCGAACCAATGCAACAAAGCGAAACCAATGAAACACCAGGCGAAGCGGAACAAAACGAAAAGCACAACTTCAACCACTGGGGGCTGATTTCACGCAATGATCCGAGCCACCAATCAACTGACTACTGTTGCCCCATGCTTCCTAAGCGCAATTTCAGCAGAAAAACTTAACGAGTTCCAAAGGCATAAAGCTGTAAAGCCCAGGACTGGCGAGCACTAAGTCAATTCCTTGCAACCCCGAACAGGTGCCTGCATTGCTCGGTCTGAGCTATGCTTGAATACGCTTGATCCCTCACATGCGGAGGGCTGGTGTGCTGAAACAAGACTTTCGGGCTGGAGCTAAGTTGCACCTTGCCACCTTCGTACTCAAGGCTACGACTTTCGAGCCGAAGCTTCTGAACGCTTCAAGCGCTACTGTCGCACGCAGCTTCGCGGAGCAGCAGAGCTGCTAACCGCATGATTGGTAGGGTAGGCCCACATATGCACACGAGATTCCACGTACAAGCATCTAGCACTATAATATGTCCAATCGGGGAAGACCTAAGTGAAGGAACTTGACCATGAGTAAGCTCGTTTTGACACCCCAGTGAGCTCGTTATAGTTTTCCCATCGCAGAAAGTAGCCAGGGACCAAATGCGCGGTCAAAACCATCTGCCCACACATCCAACATGTAAAGTCACATCCAGCCCCACAGCGCCGTCTTCCCCTACTCTGCGCTCTGCATATGTGTTCGCAAGTTGTAGATGCTCTTATCAGTGTGTTTGCTTGAAACTAAGTAAGATCTGTGCCAGAAGCTCCAAATGAGATGTGTCTTCTTAAGTAACCTCTGTGCAAGATGTTCTGTGTACATGTTCTGCATGCAAGTAGGACTCGGTGCGTCATGTTCCGTGCAAGCTGTCTCTGTTCAAGTAAGCTCTGCCTTTGTCAGCGTTCTTGTCGCAAGGAGACACATTGCAAGTTTATATGCGTGTAGAAACTGAACAACCATTGTCTGCGCAAGTGACTCTGTGTCTATCATCTGTGCAAGTGCTTCCCTGTATGTGAAGAGTCGTGCCTTTTGCTCAAGAACCCTTCGCCATGTCGGGAACTCTCACAGAAAAAGCCGAGGTTGAGTCAAACATGCCTCCGTACTTCCATTGTGGGTTTGACTCATAGGGAACCGACAATCAAAAAGGGTACTGTCCTGTTGGTTGCTCTTCAACACAAACCCGAAAAGATACCCTCAAAACAGACACACCTCTGTCCAAGCCCCCAGGCGGGCCGCAGAGGCATGGTAGGCGCATGCTCCAACCTATGCATGGCGGCTTGATCTTCCAGATCTCTAAGACCAGCATGCAACCGGTGGGGGGTCAGGGCCAGGGTTTACAGATTGTGGGTTTAAAGTTGCATTCGGGTTTGAGGGTTATGCAACTTCCTGTGTAATTCCAGCGAGATTGAATCGGCCGTTGGTTTCTTGCCCCAGGCTTGTGCAGACCTTCTGTCCAAGAAAAAGCCATGCAAACTTACTTTATTTGGTATGTAGAATTGACTGCAAGGCGCCCAGAGAAATCCCCGCCTTCTCTTGCGTTCCGCCTGGTGCTCGACCTGTCGGAAGACCCCAAACCCCAAAACAACCAGCATGGGCATGACTTTTGACTCGTGGCTTCTGGTGGACATCATTTACATGAAGAATACGTCATCCATGTTTGCTGGAGCTCCCGATTAAAATTCATGGCCGCATCAACAAAACGAGCAACACTGGTGGCTGTTGCAAGATCAAAGCTACTCACCATGGATTGGAAAAACGTTCTCTAGTTCAAAAATTATGAAGCACAACCTTGGTTGCTCTACAGATCATGCAAGGAAATGTCGAGCAACGTGTTCTTCTTTGGTAGAATTGCAGGTTGATTGGTTGACTCGCAAATTGGGACCTGCAAGGCTGTGCACCCTGAAAGCAAAGCAGAGTCGTACTTGCGGATGGCAACCCGAAGAGCAGTAGAAACATTCACTTAGGATTGCTGTCCACAGATTTCCGCAGGTAAGAAGTCCTGTATTGCAAATAGGAAGGCACCATCTCACCTCTGGGTAAATCTGCTCTCACATGAATGGCACGCAATACAAAATCATTGCCAAGCAGGATAGGCAAGTGGCACCTGGCATGGCCCCCCAACCCAGAGCGCAAGAATGTGAGTAGAACGGCTGCAAGTGATGTAAATCAGAAGACAGCCGAACAACTGCCCGAGATGCACACCAAACCAGCTGGCAAAGCCCTCTCTTCCTGGTATGTTCCCTGCAAGAAGAATCCTGAAAGCGGTGCTCGCAACTCCCCAAAAAGGGTTGGTGACCCTGCCATTCCCACCATTGCCCAAAGGGCTCCGGCGCGAATCACGTTGCCATCGATCTGCCCGGTGTTGAGATGGGAGATGGCCCTGTCAGCCTCGTGCACATGAGCAAAAAATTGCTAGACGACAAATGCCGATGGCAATGTCAACCCCAAGTGCAGCAAATCAAGGCAAGCATATTCACGAATGTGAATGACAAACCAAGACCAAGCACATACAAGGCTGCTGAATTCTGCTGAGGTGGGTTTCCATCAAAGTCTTGTTCTTGTTTTTTAATGCATGACATTGAACTGAAGAAAGGCAGACACCAGGCTACGGGTTGTGAGTCAATGAGTATGCTGGATCTGCACATCCCCAAGCCTCTACCAAAAGAATGCACTGACATGTACTCCGCAATATTTCCCAGAGGCGTGCAGAGAAGATGTTCGCTGCAACAAACAGTTGGGACACAGCGACATCGTTATTGATGGCAAGGCACCCCCAGTACTTCGTTTGAACAAACTGCTACATGGAAGGAAAAAAAAGCTTGCCAGAGAGTATTTCGGTTCGGCTCCAGCAAAACTCGCAGAGCTTTGGCGTGTCAACAAAT